CTTTGTGTACCGACCCTGGACCCAATAAACGGATTATGATTTTGAGTGACTGTGTTGAGTCTTGCATTTGAGTCCTTTTATGTGCCGTACGACACTCATGGCAACACATTAATTAATGCACGACCACAGGTTATTATCTTGTGATCAGGCATTAACTAACTTGTGGCCATGAGTTATTATCTTGTAGCTAAAAATTAATTAACTTGTGGCCATGAGTTATTATCTTGTAGCTAAAAATTAACTAACATGTGGCCATGAGTTATTATCTCTTGGCCAAGCATTAACTAATGTATGACCATGTGTTATAATTTTGTGACCAGGCATTAACTAACATGTAGCCATGTGTTATCATTTCGCCAGGCATTAATTAAGACGTGGCCATGAGTTAATATCTTGTGGCCGTGCATTAACTAACAAGGGGCCATGAGTTATAATCTCGTGACCAGGCATTAACTAACATGTAGCCATGAGTTATTATCTCTTGGCCAACCATTAACTAATGTATGACCATGAGTTATTATCTCATGACCAGGCATTAACTCAGTGGTTCCCCAACTTTTTATCTTCTGACCCACAAAATGTTCATTGCAAAAACTTGTGACCCCAAATATTACCAGTCTGAGTACACAAACTTTGTTAATAACCCTAAAAACAAAGGCTACACAAATATAAATACTTATTTATACTTATTTTGTGTTTTTGTAATAATTATAGGGAAAATATTACATCACCAATTATTTTATTACCCTTTACATTGATTTCTGAAGTGCAGTGGTTCCCAAACCTTTCAGCTTTTGACCCACAAAATAACAGTAGCAGAGACCTGTGCCCACAACTATTTTTGGATGATAAATATTTGTATCAGGTCAACTAAACATGGACATAGTAACAATATTTATTTTTATACATTTTAGGCAACTAAGGCAAAATGTAATTAATTTAGAAAATATTTTCAGGACCCCACCTTGATGTTTCAGGACCCCACTTTGGGTCCCGACCCCAACTTTGGGAACCACTGCATTAACTAACATGTGGCCATGAATTATTTTTTTTACTTGTGGCCAGGAATTAACTAACACATAGCCACAAATTATTATCTTGTGGCCATGTATTATTTTTTTATCCAGTGTTACCTGACTATCTGTAAAGTTGCCATGATATTCGCTCAAACGACAGTTTTCTTTTTATTGTGCATTTAGTGTCGCTGCCTCAACAGCATTGAACCATCTCCAGTCTGGAATCAAAATGTTTGATCTTGTTTCTTTGAAATCATTTCTTAACATTAGGCTACATGATTCCAATAATCCAATGTTGCCCAACCCTGGTCCTCAGGCACACTGCCCCGCATGTTTTAGAAGTTTCCCTGCCGTAACACACCTGATTCAGATGACCGCAGTTCAACAAAAGCCTCTTAATCAGTTATCAATTGAAATCAGCTGTGTCGAATTTGTGACCAGGTCCCCCTTGAAAATGACATCACAATCTCAATTGGGTTTTTAATCAGCTTAAATAAAGAAGATGAATAAAATAATCCACCTGTTTATCCGCGGGTGGTGAAAATTTGATTAAAAAAAACTTTTATAACCACACAAGAGTCCAGGATTGAAGTCTGACAAAAATGTATGAAAAGAAAAACTTGCAAGATGACAGATTCTGCCTCCAGACAACACAAAGTATCCTTACAGTGACATTTGCAATACCTTTCTAACAACCTCTATGTTTAACAGAACATGCTGTGTTGCTTTGTTTCCTGCCTGCAGTCCTGGTCCAGTCTGCATCCTGAGTGTGAATACATATTTCAGTTGGAGAGGGAGGAGCGCCAGTGCCTTCAGTACGTTGCTGAGCTGGGAAACAGAAGCACAGAAGGTGTGTTTTTTTCCCTCTACAACAACAAGTTTGTAGCTATCTGCTCATAAATTTAAGGATCGCACTTGGTTGTTTGAAAGATGGTCATGATGAGTCCAAACGAGTCTACGCTGAAATAAATGCTTCATTGAGAATCATTAGTTGTCTGAAAGGACGTTTTTCAGAGCATCTGAACTGCTGAATGAAAACACACTGAATGATAACTCACTATGATTTATAAGATTAAACATTAAGGATTGTTACAGAAGGATTTATGCCTTCCATCTTAAGAGAAAGGTCAGCTGCAGTAGTGTTTTTTTTTTTTTTTTGGTCTCATATTAGTCAAAGAAATGTTGGCATCATTGCCTACATCCTGTCTCTGCTGGTATATATTTCTAATGTGTATTTCAGTCTCTCTAATTGACCTGCACAAACACCTTTTAATCTTTTTTTTTCTTTCAAAACCTTTAAAAAGGTTGTTGGCCGTTCTGGGATGCCGTCGCCTGCTGGCCTCAAGCAGTCACTGGGGAAACGGTCCAAAGAGGTTGTCCTGCAGTTTTCTCTCTTTTCAGGAACAACACAGGTGAGAGGCTTAAAATAAATCCGATCCAGTTTGTCAAACCAGACGGTGACGTAGAACTAAGATATAAAATATGCATAAAAAATGTGCTGTTCAATCCATTCAGAGAATGATTACTTGAGCAAAAAATATCTTACCTGTTGTAGATAGCCCTTTGAGTGTACTCAAGTTGGATGAAAAGAGTTTAAATTTGACAGACATGAGTTGACTTGTGAAAAGAGTCTCAAAAATCTCAACATAGCTCATTCAAACCCCCTTTATAAACCTCTAAATCGGGGATGGGCAACCGGCAGCCCGCGGGCCACAACATGCCTGCTGGTGACTTCCGTCTGGCCTGCCATTTTTACTTAAAAAGTTCATTCTACCTGCAACAGGTATGTATGATATTTTTGTTTATAACCTTTCCACAGAATGTCACTATTGGCAGGTTAACACATAGCCCACACAACAAAATTTGTCTGGCCCAGTTCTGGCCCACACAATGCAAAAGTTTGACCCAGATACCACAAAGAAGGATGATCCCTTGGTTTGTGGTTTGCGGGAGGTGGACCATGCATGGGCCAGCACTGCAAAAACCAATCCACAGCTGGGCTAGTTGCCCCTAATTTACACTACATGCGTTCCAGCTCCGCTCCGACCCGGTCCGACCTCCGCAGCAAATACGCACCCATTATAATCAATGAGAGTGTTTACACTGGTTCCGCACGGCGGCGGTGAGCGGACGGTGATCTGGCAAAATTAGATCGATCCTATTTCTGCCGGACGCCGGAGCTACGCCGGAGTCAGTTTTTAAAGATTATGTCGCACCAACAGGAAGAGGAACGAGCACAATATCTGTATTTACAAAACAAGACACCATAATTTTGTCGAATTTGCAGCTATATTAATAAATATATGGATATATTTCTACACAAAAGCTGTCAGAATGTATCGTTCTGTTAGGGAAAAAGATGGCAACATGTAGATGATGCATATGTGTACACACACAACACACGTGGATTTTATTTTGAAATCAAAGTTTCAAAAAGACGACAGCGCTAATAGGCCTACAGCTTCAACCATAGAAATCAAAAGCTTTTATATCAATGTTTTCAGCTGTGTTTGGAGTTCATCTTTCACAGAATTTATTGTTTTTGCTCTGACTTCCATTTTTATCACTGGATTTATCGCATGATCTCCTTCCTGCACGCCCTCCCTCCTCTGTGTGTCGGACCGGAGCGGAGGCTATATAAACTGGGTTGCAAATGAACAGCTACAAACTGCGCACCACAGCGCAGCGAAGCAGAGTTGCATGTAGTGTAAATCCGGGGTTGTGGCATTCCACCTTAAAATCAGTGCCATCATTACCAGACCTGGCCCACATCTGGTTGACAAACATACCAGCATGGCGAGCTTGATCCCATGTTTGGTCCAAACATCTGTCTGATAAGTGGGATGCTGTTTATTTTGATCATTCTTAAGAAATGAATTAACAAATTAAAAATTATTCAGAAGGAATGAAATGTTCTACAAAATGAGCAAAACAGGAAATATGTTTGAGCTTTGTAACACACAGTAAAGCTTCAGTCTAAACACACTTTATTGTTCATGAAACATCAAAATTGTTGTAATGAGATGAATCGCAATCATCCTTTCTCAGCTTAAACGTTTTTAGGATATAAGCTTTATTGAGTGCAGATTTAAAATGAAACCTGCACTATTTCTGTTCCATTCATGTTTAATATTCTGTGACAGATCAAGCTGATTCGTCATCTGTATTTTTGCTGTTTTCAGCAGCAGTTGGTTACAGAAGAGCTTTCTGGTTGCTATTTAAAATAGGGATGCTGACATTTCACAGGAGGAAAATAGACTCTAAAAGGACATAAAGGCTGCATAATCGGCTTTCTAGCATGTTTAAAAGCACACGTAGCTTGTGGGAAACATTTTCAAATGAAATGCAAATGATACAAATACTATAATAAATTGTCTCAGTTTATTAAACAAAAACCATGCAAAAAGCGATTTTTTTTCCATCTTCTATTCTCATTCTGTTGTGTTCAGGGCAGAGGAACCATCTCTCACCTTAAAATGCCGGTTTCACACTGAACCCGTTCATCACAAGGCAACTGCAGACAAAAAAAGCACTCATACAGTAGGTTTTAAATCATCACAAAATATAATTTGAAATTGAAAAAACGAGTCGCACAGAGAAAAATGCAGTTAATTGCATGTAGTTAAATGCATGGTTAACATACAAATGCTACAAAAAGCCCTCCATCGAGGTTCAGATTAGGAACCAGGTCCTCTAATTCCACAGTGCTGGCAACACCACAGAATCATCTACAACAAATACGACTCTGTGGAGCAAAATGTTTAAATGATCCCTGGCCTCAACGATAGACAGGTGATAGGGCACCTGACCCTCTTTGAACAATAGAGTCAATCAAGGCACTAATGATCTATTGTTTGGCTGATGGTCCTCTTTTTGCATGTGACTAACCTGTTTGTCCACCATGTGGAGGCAGTGCTTATAATGCTGAGCTCACCTGAGACTCATCAGACTGAAGAAGTCTCTTGGAGGAGAGACGAAACGTTTCATTAAAGAAGAACCAAAGGACTTGTTTTTCTTTTTGATTTTTCTACCTGGATTACTTGAGATGCATCAGGACGTTTAAATGATCCCCAGCCAAAGATGACACCACTGGTTTTCTGTGCAATAAAAAAAGGAACTAGAAGCACTTGGTGAGCGCTAACCTTTGCCAAGGCCATAGGGTCAGTAATGCTAAAAGGATCCTCCTTGGAAAAGTGAGCTATCCAATGTAAATAGTAACATCATGCTGCATATATTCATACATAAAATTAAATGGTGGAGATCAAAATTTCAATTTACTCCAACAAATAACACATGTAGAACTATAATATTGAATGAATGTCACAGTATCACACAGTATCATTCCAAATATAACCAGACTGTGTCCATACAGTGAAGGTATCATATTAAAATGTTTCTAAAGAAATAAACATTAAGATTACAGTTTAAATTTTCAACAAAATATTCACACATAGTGGTGAGAAAAATAAGTGTGAGTAACTTTGACATGTGTAATTTCCCCTATCCTGAAATAGTGAAAAATCCTTCAAAGAATTCCTGGATCTGGATCATTACCTAAATTTAATGGTGTGTTCCTTTGGCCGATACCCACCTGTGGTAAAAATGTCACGAAAATCTGTCCATAAGTTTTTGAGTAATTTTGTCCACAGACAGACAGACATACAGTGTGCGACCGAAAACATAACCTCTTTGGTGGAGGTAATAAAACAAGGGAAAAACACTACTGAAGATTTGTATGTATAAAAACACACACAAAGCTAAACTACGAACAGTGTGCACTGATGATTGCAAACAGGCAGCAATCCATTTAGCACAAGGGTGCCAAATTAATTTTCACTGTAGGTCAGATTAGCATTATGGTTGTAATAAACTTTAACATTTTGTGTTTACCTTCGACTAAACCTAAAACGGCACAATCCTCGTCTCATTGCAGCTGCAGAGCACTGTTAACGCACAATAACTGAGCTCTATGTGGTATTTCCTGCATAGAAACAGTGTTTTACCTTTTTACATGGCAAATGTCTCTGGTTACTGGCTATGTTTGAACTGTGTACCTCCACCTAGTGGTGGGATGCCGTCTATTTGCCGACAAAGTAATCATTATACATTATGGCAGATGTAGTTAATGGTCAATGCTAGCTTTAAAGCATTATACACTTATTTTAAGACATTAATACATATTTGAAGCTCTTGCAGGCCACAAAGTTCAGTGGCAAGGCACATTCAACATGCAGGCCTTGAGTTGGACACGTGATTTAACATGCTTGCAGTCAATGGTGGGCAGCGCTAAATTAAAAGTTAGTTCTGCAAATTCAAAAGCACTAATTAATTTATTTAGGTCCACAAGTTCTATTACGCACATCATAATAATTTTAGCAGAAGCTAATTCAATTCTGCACATTTAACTCAGTTCACCAGAATATAGATTTCCAGTGATAACATGAGCATTCTTGCACATTATTGCCATCTCAAGGCATGATAAATTTCTTCCCACCCGTACCTTACTTTGTTGCGGTGAGGAAGTGATTTACAGAACCAGACTTTTGACTCATGATGTTAAAATAAAAAGTTGTTGTGGACTGCAAGTTCTGCTGCTTCTTGGTCATTTTTCTGTTGTTTATTACTATATCAGTCATTTAAAATGTTTATTGGAGAAGGGGTGTTATAGGTTTATTATTGGAGAACTGAAGCGATGCATTCTGGGTAAAGGAAGCCGACAGTCTTCACTTCAAAACAAGAGCGTGAATTTAAACTGTGCCGTGCTTCAGTACGACGTGAGACAGTGGGTTGGTGGTTGAAGCTGCAGCATGTCATAAATTATTATTAATCCTCCCTCTACCCTCCCAAAGCTCATATAAGTATATAAAAAAACAACAATAATTATGGCTGGATTGTTGAAGAAACTTTTATTTTTTTGTTAATGGTGGTTCTAGAAAAAAGCCGTGAACATCAGCAGCTGATCTTCAATTAAAATAAACCAGCTGTTGAGCTAGCTTTTTTAACTACTGGCCTCAGATAAAAAATATTTTTAAAGAAATAACATGAATTAAACGCTGCTGGACCATTTCCTCAAGTGTCCCTCGCTGTGTGTGTGTGTGTGTG